ATCCTCTTTACACAGCTTCTGCCATCAGTTTTCAAGCTGTAGATATCAAAAACTCTGAGACTGTCCTACAAAACGACAGACTGTATAACAATTATTGTATTTCTTTAGCAATAGCAAAAAGGATGACATTCTGTCTTTTCCTTCATCTGTCACTGTCTAACTGGTTTTCTGTGCATTTTTCCTTGCTTTGCCATTCCACTTGTAATGTAATATGAGAGGGAGTCCTAATGTAATCTCTTAGCATTTAACAGCTCTTAATTAAAAACATTTTAATTCCTTGAAAACGTGAAAGAGGGTCAAGATGTCAGGTTTTTTGGTTTTTGTGTGAATATTTATAGCAAATTTTAATTCCACTTCATTTGCTTGTGCAACTCCTGTAGCACAGTTTGTGCTATCGTTTTAAAGCTAATCTCTGGAAATACTGTATTGTATTCTATGGCTTGGCTTTGATAGGTGTAAGTTGAAGATATATCATTCCAAATAACTTCTGAGTTTATTATTTAAATACATTAAAATAAATTCTTCTCAATTTATAATTTTTTGTAACTTTTTTTTTTATATTAAAAAAGGTTAAGTTGGTAAGGTAGTATTAAATTATTTGAGATTTTTAGTGTATTCAATTAAAAAGTTTTTCTTTCTGAGTTCTCAGGAGGATTTCTGCAATTCTTTTTATATCTAATACACAGTCTTTTCTATTTTCAGGAAAATATAGTTTACAAATTTCTGTTGCCTTTGTAAGATAAGTTTGTGAGATGCCATCACAGAAAAGGTATCTTACTAGCAAAAAAAGTCTAGTACCTCTCAACTCTGCTTTCATAATTCCCTTAATGAACCCTTGCTAAAGCTTACTATCCCTTCATTTGTTTTTAATCCAGCAAAGCACTAGGTCTGCAGTCACTCTATTCTCAGGGACACCAAATATGTACTTAAAAGCTCTCACCATACTTATGTGCCTCACAGATGATACTAGTATTGAACAGATTCTCTACTGTTGCCTTTCTTTTGCTGGGAATTTTTTTTTTCATATGCCATCTGGACTGTTCAGTTGTGTTGCATACAATATATTTTGTTACATAGGTATTATATAGTGTATTGTGCCCAGATGTATTCTTGCAGCATTTCAGATTTTCCTTTAAGAATAGCCTCTTTGTTTCCTAGGTGTTTTCTTTTGTAGTCTTTTATTGAGTGTTCTTTCTGTGTTACATGTGAAATTTAAGTAGTGCTTAATGCAAAGGTGAAGGTGATAGAGTTCAGTACGTTTTTGCAGCACATGTAGTACTCTAGAAATCTCTTAATATTCTAGGGGAGATGTCTACCTTATGGAAGTCTTGCATGACCTCCATCTAGAGAGATTCCTGTTCATGCATGCTGGGTTTTACTGCTGCTCAGAGGCACCTTGTTCTTCCAGTACGTCTTTTATGGACCCAGATGTCCCTGGAAGTTATAGTTTCTGTCAGTGAGAGGCAATTCAGCTAGCACTGTACAAGTGAACCTGCATTTTCTTCTACATTGCTTGTTTGGTTAATTCCTTGTTTCATACAGACAACTTCTGGCCACAAACCTGAAGGCAGGCTGTCTTTAACAGACATTGAGTAATAAGGAAATTGTAAATGTCTTGTAAGTTCTTGGTTCTTCAAGATATTTCCCATGCTGGCAAGCTTGATCAATTTTAGAGACAGCTCATGTCAAACCTAGAAGTATTATCATTGTTCTATTTGTTCATGTCCAAAATAAAAGGTTCTCCTGCTTTAGTTTTATGTTAGAAAGGCTAGTTCTTAATTTTGCTGTTCTGGCAGAAGACCACCTTACAGGCCTGGAAAACTTACGGGCATTCATCCTTAGAAGCAGAAGTTGGGTTTTTAGGAATAGAGGGTCTGTTTAGTCAGATTCTTTATGATTTTGTTTTTAATTCCAAACTCTGGTCAAACATCCGACATGTAGTTGGGAGAAGAATTCTCTCAGTAGGAGAGTACACCTGACCTCCTGTCTAACTGAGGGCTGAGAAAATGTATCTCCTGGGTGTGCTGTCTTTGGGACTGCCTTACAGCAAAGGTGAAAAAAAGGTCAACACTTTGGATGTTTCCCACTCTCTTTTGTAAAAAATAAATAGATACATTAAAAGTGAAGAAAATCACTAGTAAGAAAAGGTATGCCATCTTGAAACATTCAGAAAAAAACAACAAAGAGTAAAGGTAGAAAAGTATCTATGGTGGTTCACATGTAAGATCTGGGCAAGTGGAAAATATTTAACTCTTCTGGATTCCTCTTGTTGGGGTCAGGTTTCTGTTTTTAATAGGGTTCTTGATCAGAGCAGACTTAACTGCTCAAACAGCAGGAAATTGAAGAGTCAGTATTTCTGCCTATTTTCAGCAACTGTTAACTCTTGCTCTGATCAGCAGCTGAATTGCTGGCATATGGTTTGGAGCAAAAATCAAAGCTAAATGTGGTTCCAAATAGTCCTGTTTGAACTGAGCATGATGACACTCCTGTGATGTTTTACCAAATTCTCCCCAGCTTGCTTCTTGCTGTGGACATTTTGACATGTGGTGGGTGTACACGTAGCCAATAGAAAGAGTGATCTGTGAGGTGCCACTTCTGCAGCTTTGTTGAAATCAACAATTTTCCAAAGAAGACCAATGTAAATTTGTCCTCTTGATCACTGATACTAGTCAAACTGTATTCACTGAGTTGCCTGACCTGACAAAGATATCAAAGTATGTGACATCAGGTTACTGTTTACTCTTTTTTTAAATCCATGATAGTAGTTGCATCCAGATCCAGTTCAGTTTAATCAGCCGTTGTCAATTAACACGGGAAAAGGGAGCATACACGTGTGTGTATATATAGTATCTAAGCTGTATTTAGAAGATCTTGACATAAATAAATAAACTGAGCTAATAAAGAGAGCACACTGGTTTAGTCACGAAAACCATACTGTTTGGAGTGCTATTTTTAATAGGGTTTTCTGAGTGTGTGTGTGTGTTGGCAAGAGGGTGCTGCAATGAGAGTTGAAGTGTGAGATACAGTTTCGGTTAGATACACTGCAGACTTCGTTCTGCAGGATAGGTTATTTACGCTTGAGAAGGAGGTCAAATGGCATTTCATCTTCATTTAGCTCCTTATGGGAATTGCTGACTTGACATTGAGGTGGTCAAGGACCATTTAAAAGCCACAGACAAAATGTTTGGATATTTTGTCCCTTCAAGCATGATGCAATCACTGCAAAATTAAAGATTTTGTTATGAGAGTGAAAGAATTCCACTGCAGGAATTAAATGATGCTGGAAGACTCTTCCTTTACTTCATCCACTGCAATAAAAAACCTATATATCTTCGTGGAAGCAGAACGTGTTTCAGAGTTTGTAGAAAAAATAGTACTTTATGAATTTTTAACAGTTCTCCTGTGATAGGAAATAAAGGCCAGATCTGGACAACAACTGCATGAAACACTTGGTATCACCATGGTTTATCTAGCAGCTGTGTGATAGATCAGATCCTATTAAGTCATTGTCTTTCTGGGAGGAAAGGGAAAGATGCTGCTCAAGCAGTGATGGTTGGTTCTAGCCCTTGGCTACACTGTGTAGACAGTGGCACCCCACTTCCACTGCCAGAGTGTTTATACTTTAAGAAATTGTGGTGACAATTCCCTGAAGAGATGTTCTCTATCAGGGAGACACAGCAGAGGAAAAATGAAAATAGGTTCCTGAAACAGAATAAGATACCAGAAATAATGGGCTGAACTCAGCACGATGTAGGTATTGGTGGATCTGCTCATCATGGCTAGCTGTTGTCAGGTAGTACATCTTCATGATGATGTGGCATAGCTGAAGTTATGTGTTTTGATACATATTCACTGAGAGTCCTGCTTTTATGGCACTCTAAGGAAGGTGAAGGTATCTCTAAGAGAAGTGGAAACATGGGTGACCAAAACAGGTACTGATGTCCAAAGGTAATAAAGTACAAAGTACAGAGAAGTATTGAAGTAATACTTCAAAAATTGCTGGTATGGAAGAGATACCTCAGACTTCTGAACTGTTTAGTTACAAAAGCTGATTAAGTTGATTACTCTAGATTAATGATTTTATAGATTACATTTTATGCCTTTTTTTGGTTCATCATGCAGTGAATGACATGATGTGAATCCATCAGGCTAGTGAATACCATGACAGAGGCTGTGCCTTGTCAGAAGAAATCTATGGCAATCCAGATATTAACTCTTTAGAGTGCTCACTGTCTGATGCCTTTTTCAGTGGTCAGACAGTTATGAGCTACAGATAAGGTCTACATTATCTACTTGGGCTTTCGGGGTGATGTGTTGAAACACTGAGTCTTTAGACTAATGCTTTTATTCCAAAATATTTATGTTGATGAAAGGAAGTAAAATTTGACCCAAGATGTCACTCAATTGAAAAATGTATTAAAATACTTTTTAGAAGAGGAATTTGGCATTGACTCTTACTAGACAGAAGAGGAAAAGGGGTTAAAATCTTTATTACTTTTTATTCTGTTCACTTAATTCAGAGTTCAAAATTATTCCTTTTTTTCCATTAAAGCTTGGCAAGTTCTCTTCTTCTGTTTGGTACAGGAAATTAAGAAAGGGAGATAAAGGTGGGAGAAGAGAACCAATGTTTGCCTAATTATGCTGGGTGCAGCTAGATGCCAAAACTATATGGGAACATGTAACAAGATCTATGTTGCGGTTTCAGTGTAACAGCTCTTTAAAATTTTTGCCCTTCAAATCCCATTACATTAGCACATAAATTTTAAATTAATCTTGGGTTTTGGTTTGCTTCTTTCTGTAATAAGCTATTTAGAGAGTGCATCATTAATGCTGCTAAGGTGGTGTAGAAAGAATTGGAGGAGAAAGATGCACCTGGTGAATGGAACGATTTCAGACTTACGGTCTTTCAGGATTTTCTCCTTTTATAAGAGTATCTTTAGTAAAAATTCATTGGGGACAGCTGGACTTCTACTTAGGAAATCCTATCCTGTCTTTTGCAGAGAAGATTACCATGAAGATGGATTCTGTCAACCATACAGGGGAATTGCATGTGCACGAATCATTGGAAACAGGACCATTTATGTGGACTCCCTCCAGATGCAAGGGGAAATTGAAAACCGGATTACTGGTAAGCATATACATCTCTGTAGCAGGGCAAGAAACATACATGAAAGTAGCCAATTCGGGTACAAGTAATGCTATCAGACTTCAGTTTGCCACTTTCCCACTTGTGCAGTTAGTAGAAAAAGAGCAAAAAGAAGAGCAAAGAGCAAGGAAGATGTATATCTGCTGCATTTATAGATTGTTTTCCTGAAGTATATGTCCTTAAGTAAAATGTCAGACTTTTGACTTTAAAATAGCTTATGGTTTATACTGGAGCTTTTGCATGATGGGTTTAAACAGAAGATTTTTTTCAAAATTAGTTTGTGATGTTAAAAAAAGTACTGGGTTTTTTATTTTCTTGAAAAATGTATGGTACCTTTTGCCTAGGGTTTCCTCCCCTATTGCATAAAGCTGATGGAGTGTGGATTTCACACTGATTTATATAAAATAAGAGCTGACTTTCCTTTGCTCTGCCCCTGCTGATTCTTTCTCTGATCATCATTTAGGTAGAGTCACAAACATGCATCCAGAACATCAATGACTTTAATGGGCTGTACATCAACCTGGGTTTTCTTCACTGGACTTCAGTTAGTTGGTATTAGCAGCTGTGACTCTGATATACACAGAACAATAAAATAAAATAAAACAATCTGCAGAATAGAGCAAACTGTTTATTATAATATATAGACAGTTAGCTCAGTTTGGCAGGAGCTTATTTGCATCTGGCCAGATATGGATAAGAAATTGAATAAGCAATTTTAACATAACTAGTTGCCAAAAAGACTTTGACTTCACTTGTCAGCTCTGTCTCCTTGAAGGTATTAACCTAAAGGCTCATTGTCAAGCCAGAAATACAGGTAAGTTATTTTTCTGTTCTTGAGATGATGATGAGATTTTGGGACTGGCAAAATCCAGGTGTTAACCTTTCCTTGTGGTGTCAGAACTCATTCCTCTCTGTCCTTTCTCCTGTAATCTATAATTTCAACCTTTTTTTCCATTATGTCATTAATTAAGACATGCTATTGATACAATATTTTTCTACAACATAATCTTGATCATGTTTGGATGTTTTTCAGCAGTATTAAAAATGTTCAGCTATATTAAATTATTACAGTAGTAACACCTTGAATTAGGTTCATAATGTCCTTTAAAGGAAAACAAAACAAACAAAGAAAAAAACCCAAACCAACAAACAAACAATCCCCAAAAAACCAGTGTTATCTTTCATAAAAGGTTTACTAGTTAAGTTACTTGTTTCTAAAATATACAATGTGGACATTCATGAGCTGGCTGCTGGTCTTAAACAGCATTGAAAATGGTTAGATTTGGGAGGCTGGGGGTGAGACTCTGTGCTGGAATTGAGTAGAATTTCTGATGAAACTGTTCAGTTTTAGGAAAACTCTGTGAAGCACCATGTAGAGCTGTGTAGGCAGTAATAAAAATCCATTAATAGTTCAGCATTTTCGAACTATATACATCTTAAGAACACACCAAATGTCTTAAGCAAAATAACCCTGAGGACTTCACAGCATATTTGCTTCTTTGAGTTTTCTTATATGTAAAGTAAGTATTACAAGACTGGGTGTTCTCTCTCCAAATGACAGGGTATCTTTGAGATTACAGTAACTTGTTAAAACCAATTTGCTCTTTAAATACTGCTGATATTTTGCTTGTGCTTTTGCCCATACTTCCTAAAAGCACTTTTTGTTGGGAGGTTTCTGCACTTAGAGCCATGGGGCACTCAGGGGTGGCTGTGAGCAGGAAGCCAGGACACCGAGAACATTCAGCAAGGTGACATCTATGAGGAATTTTCATATTCAATTTTCATTTTCCTGGGTGCTGATCTGCAAAATACATTTCCTTTGCCTTTATGGCCCCTCATGCTGTTTGGTCCTGGCCATGTGGTTTGGTAAGAATTGCAGCCTTCTATTAAAAAAAGAAGGACGTTTCTGGAGAAAATCTTGAGACATGGCTTGAATGACTGGAAGGCCAACAATAAAGAGTGTGTGGACCTGACCCCTGACCTGTGAATACGTGTGGCTAGAAATGTCTTTGCTGTGCTTTTTAATGTCTGTTAAATAACTAAAAATAAATAACCCCCTTAGATGCCGTCACATAATCCTGTTGGCTTTTGTGCCTCCCATGGAAATAAGAACATGACTGTAAATTGGCCACTCTTCACTCATGCTGATCTAAATAATGTAACAGCTTCACAAAAATTAGTGTGGTATTTCAAATGGCCTGAAGTGACCACTTCACTCCTCCAGGTTTATTTTTTCTCTGTTGGTCTTCATAACAAGCATACATTACAGCTGTCATTTAAGGCCTGGTATTTTGCTTGTATGCAGTGTTCGTTCCCTGACTGATAAATTGTTATATCCCTGTGTTAATATTCCTGTATTAAAATAAGCAAAGTTGTAAACAGTATAAAAGACTGCAGCTGGGGCTGCTTGCTGCATGTGTGGTGAAGAGACAGGAGACTTTCTGATAGCAGGTGGCAGGAAAAAGTAGATGATTGAAAGGACAGAGCTGGAAAAGCAGGAAATAATTGTTCTGTAGGTTGTAAGTAGACTGTTGAATGACTCGAATGGCTCCTTTTCACTCATTTTACACTGCAAGTTGGTGATATGTGCAGTCTAGCAAGCCTCACTCACAAATTACGCTATTCAGTGTGGGAATCAATGTTCATACATTTAACATTTGATTCATTCTCTGATACATGATGCAGATGCGTATTTGTCTTTTCTTTGCAATGTACAAGAAAACTCTCAGGTAAATGTTAGGGCGTACATGATGAGAGTTAAAGAAGCGTATTAAATTACTAATTCATGATGATTTTCATCTTAACGCGGTCTGTATGCTGAGACTGATAACATTAATTTTTCCCAAAACTGCTGCCTCTTAGGCATTTAATGTCCTTTAATAGCAGTATCTCCTCAAATACGAGTGGCACACTTCCTTTTGCCTGTGAAGACTTGACAAACATTTGTCTTTTTTATTGATAAAAATGTCTATGGGAGAAGGAGCTAGTGGATATTTTTCAGATATTACCTAATTAAGAACTTCAGAAATATATATCAATGTCTTGGTAGGTGTATCTTGCTTTCACTCATTATCCCTTCAGTTAAAATTATTCAAGCACCAACAGTTCGCTTAATGCTAGTCACTTAGGTAACTGAGGTTCTACAAGCTCTGTGCACACATCAGAGACACTCTTATGCTGGGTTTGCTTTCTGCAGTTGTCAGCTCTGCTTTATAGAATAACCTAATTTCCCTGCTGCTCACTAGACCTTTCAGACCCTCTAGAAAAAACGAACATTGTAAAAGGCAAATTTACAGGAAAATGATGTTGTTTCTCATGCTTTTCATGAATTAAAACTTAAGCAGTATTTTTCTTCCTTTCCAGCTGCATTTACCATGATTGGCACTTCCACACATTTGTCTGATCAGTGCTCACAGTTCGCTATACCATCCTTCTGCCACTTTGTGTTTCCCCTGTGTGATGAGCTGTCTCGGACCCCTAAGCCACGGGAGCTGTGCCGGGATGAATGTGAAGTTCTAGAGAATGATCTCTGTAGGCAGGAGTACAACATTGCTAGGTCAAACCCCCTCATCTTGATGCAGCTACAGTTGCCTAAGTGTGAGGATCTCCCACGACCTGACACCTTGGAAGCTGCCAACTGCATAAGAATTGGGATCCCAGTGGAGAGACTGAGCCAATGTAAGTCTGAGTGTTTCATCACTGTGATAAAATAGGGTTTGTTGCTTCCTCAGGTTGAGTCTGAGAGACGATATTTATCAGTCATTCTTTTTGTAAAGAAAGTACTGCTATACTGAATGCTACTATTTTTTATCATATTAATACTGACCATAATCTTCCATTGTTGCACAGTTAGAATAGCAAGGAAGTTTAAAGGGATGCTGCTTAGTTTAGAAAAGGGTTATATCAGTCACACCAGGCTGTAAAACTCCATGTTCACGCAACAGATTTTATTCAGTTTTCTGAGGGGCAGTAATGCATTGCAGGCTTCCCTTCCCACATGCCTGCCCCCATCTCTGGCTCAGTCCTTGCCTTTCTAGATGAGCCTCCCCATGAAGCTATTTGTGAGTTCTCTTTACTTATCAATAAACCATCAATAAGTTGTGGAAGCTTCACTGGAAAAATCTGTTCAGAAATTAAACATTTAATGTTCAGTCTTTCTATACGGAAATCCACAGGAATATTAATCCTGTAAATTTAGCAAGGAGTGAAATTGTCTTTCTTCACCACCACAGGATGGATGACAACATCGATCTCTCTTCTGTGAATTTATAATCGCATCCAGGAGTAAATGGGCTGTTTCATTGTCAGTAATTATGTGCTGACAATTTTTCTGCCTACATCATTTCCTAGCGATTAATCACCATGTGTTACAATGTTCAACAAGGAAGCTCAAAGATATTTGAAGTATATAGTGTGATAAGATTATTCTGAATATCCATTGTCTGAATCCACAGCTAGGAGTATGAGTCATGTCATAACTGGACATTGAAGACTAGCTGTGTGCTAGTAAGGCAATAATATACTGAGAAGCAGAAATAACTGAGAAAACAATTATAAAGACAAATCAGCCAAGGAAGTGGTATCAGTAGAGAGTAGCACCAACAAAAAGTCTGGCAAAAGTAATCAGTGATCCTTAGAGCCAGTGGTGCTCGCTCTGGTAGAACAGCTGCTGCGTCAGTACCCTTAGTATTTAGAGAATGAGCTTTGACAGAGCTGTATTCCTGATTGCTGGGGAGGCAGATTTGGAAAAATGCACAAGGTTATACTGCAAACATAAAGAAAAATGCAAATTCAGAACAGGTGATAAATGTGGAAGACAAGGACTCAGAAAGTATGAAGAGATGATAGCAGCAAAAAAAAGAGAGAGAATAAAGATAGGAGTTCACAGATATGGAAGTGATGTACTTAAAGAGAAGAAAAACCTGAGTCCCTTCTTTCTAAAGAAAAAAAGGAAACATTGGCAAGATGCATTAGAAAATGCAGCACTAATTTCTCTGGGAAGTGAGCAGTGTGAGAAAGACAGGAAGATTATGAGAAATAAAAGTTGCAGGAATTTTACACTGTTGGCATCTAAGAACTTTTTCTGAAGTGAAACCCATATCTTTAATTTAATTTAACTTGTCCTGTATCAAAAGGTCCATATATGCTCCTCAGTATCAGTTTGCATTCAGAGTGCATTCAGAGTTACCAAATGTCAGTGTGTGTAAAGCAAAAAGCTGAGACATGTCAGGGACGAACCCAGAAATAACTGGGTTTAAGAGTACAACACTGAATTTTCAAAACCCATAGCTTTCATTTAAATCCTGAAGTACATAAATTTAAGTACTTTTTACATATATGGTATATGCCCTTCAACCACTTTGGTCTTGGTGGCCCTTGATTGTGCTGGTATTTACAACTTTTTGTTCAAACTGTGTTGCAGATCATCAGTGCTACAACGGTTCAGGAGCAGACTACAGAGGGACAGTCACTGTTACGAAGTCTGGCCACACTTGTCAACTCTGGGACTCTCAGAGTCCACACAGCCATGATCTGACAAGCACACAGTTTCCAGAGCTAGGTGGAGGACATGCGTATTGCCGCAATCCTGGAGGTCAGATGGATGGGCCCTGGTGTTTTACAAAGAATAAAAACGTACGCATGGAACTGTGTGACATACCTTCTTGTAGTATGTATTCTCTTTCTATTTTCCCCTACTACTGCCCTGAATCCTTTGTAATTTTGAATATTCCTTATTGTTACAAGTACAATTCACTTGAAAGGGTTATGCTTCCAAATGTTTCACTTGCTGTAATGTGACACCCTTGTTTTATGTGGTAAAGGTTTAATATTTTCTGGAGTTCGGAGCTTGTAGCTGAAATACTGTGACACATTTTTACTGTGTGGAATGCATAAGCTGTGATACTAATTAACAGTACAGCAGTAGTTTGTATTCTAACTTGCCAAATGCCATACTTGACGTACTTATTGCCTGTATGTGTTTGATTTGCTTGAAGTACTCAATGGTATATTGCTGTCACTATGTGGTATCTTGCCGGCATCTCCCTGTAGAGGGAGATGTAGCGCCATGCTTGGTTGGAGGGAAACCTTGTGAAGTGCAAAGTAAAGACTTCATAAAACAGATGATCCTATCAGAAAAGTCCTACACTATGTACTGGTGGCTCTGTGCTGTACAACTGATCGCAAATGTAAAAAGCACAGCTTTCACAGGGTAATACTGGCCCCCCACTTCCCTGTATTGGCACAGCCTTCACCCTACAGCTTTTACAGTGCTAATACTATTTGGACATGACAAAGCAACTTAATGATGAGCTTAATTAGGAATCAAAACATACTTCCTGCAGCAGCAGATATATCCTGGAAGCTATAAAAGTGGTTTTGTTACAGATTGCCTGAATATTTAAGAATGCTAAAAACTGATCTGACATTTCTTAGTTCCTTCATTTTTTTACAATAACGTGATTTGACAGAATAATTTATATGTTGCATGTAACATGGTGTAAAGATAACACTATGATGTGGTTGTGGTGAAAGCAGTAGCTACAAATAGCAAAACCACAGATTGCAGAAACATCCCAGGCAATTCCAATAAACATTTTGGACATAACTGTGCTTTCCTACAGTCACAAATTATCAAGAAAAAAAAAATATATCAAAAAATAGGAGGGCTTTTTCATGTCTCACTGTAACATAAAAGCACTTTAATTCTATTAACTACCAAACAAATAATATCTCAGCTGGTGAGAAGTGGGATTTATATTATTCCAGGCAGAATTGAGCAAAATCCTGATGAAATGGCTGAAGTTGGGCAAGAAGGCCAAACTGCAATGTTGTTCTGTGGTTTATCACATTCACTGCTTTATATACTGTGGTAATGATTACTCTGTTGTTTTTCATACACTGAACAAGATAATACCGTGACACTCTGTTGTATGCTCTGCAGTTTTCAGAACCAGAAGCCTCAAAACTAAAGTGAAATGAACCACATACTGTTACAGTCAATACCATAAAAGCAGGGTTCTAGTTTATCTTCATACTGTTAGTTGCTATGTCTGTTCAAACCTCATGAAAAATTTAATGAAAAATTATGGAGAGGAGGGGGAGGTTAAGGTGACTTCTGCTTTCAAACTACAGGAGTTTACTTTTTCTTTAAATGAAAGTATTAATAATTACCCCATAGTTGTTTTGGTTGTATTTTGGTTTGGTTTGTTGGTGGTGGGTTTTTTCATGTTGAATGCATGAAAAATATTTCTTGTGAACAATGACCAATTCTGTGCCTGACAGGTCCACGTGACAGTAGTAAAATGGGAATCCTCTACATCCTGGTTCCCAGCATAGCCATCCCTCTGGTTATCGCCTGCCTTTTCTTCCTGGTCTGTATGTGCAGAAACAAGCAGAAAGCATCGGCTGCTACACCACAGCGCCGCCAGCTAATGGCTTCTCCTAGCCAGGACATGGAAATGCCGCTCATTAATCAACACAAACAGGTATTTTTTCCAGAATTTACTTAGGCCACATATTTCCAAAGTGTTGTGATTTTCAGTATCTCAGGTGGTCAGTGTTCAAACTGAGCTGTGTTGTAAGTGACCCAATCTTTATAATTTTTATAATCTTTATAATTTTTATAATCTGCTGGCCATTTTTTCAGTGAAAACTGGGTCTTGCACTTGTTGACTGTATCTGCAAATCCTGGCCTCAGGCAACAGCTTTCAGAACCTAGTATTTTATTTTATTTTATTTTACCCTTCACAGAATCATAGAATGGTTTGGCTTGGAAGGCACCTTACAGGTAATCTAGTTCCAACCCAATTGCATGGGCAGGGAGACCTCCCACTAGGCCAGGTTGCTCAAAGCCAAATCCAACCTGGCCTTCAGCACTTCCAGGGCCTCCTTAACTTCTTTGGACAACCTTATCTAGTGTCTCACCACCTGCATAGTGAAGAATTTCTTCCTAATGTCTAACCTAAATCTATTCTCTTCCAGTTTAAAAGCCATTAACCCTTTGTCCTCTTACTACATGCCTTTATAATAAGTCCCTCCCCAGCTTTCCTGTAGGCCTGCTTCAGGTACCAGAAGGCTGCTGTAAGTTCTCCCCAGAGAGACCTTCTCTAAACCAGGCAACCCCAACTGCCTCAGCCTGTCTTCACAGGAGAGGTGCTGCAACCTTTTGATCAACTTTGTGGCTCTCCTCTGGACTTTCTTCAAGAGCTCCATAACCTTCCCGTCCTGGGGGCTCTGTAACTGGACACAGTATTCCAGGTGGGGTCTCAAAAGAGCAGAGTAGAGAGAGAGAATCACCTCTCTTGACCTGTTGGTAACATTTCTTTTGATGCAGCCCAGGACATGGTTGGCTTTCTGGGCTGCAAGCACACATTGCTGGCTCATGTTGAGCTTCTCATCAACCAACACCTTCCAACTCCTTTTCCTCAGGGCTTTTCTCTGTCCACTCTCGGCCAAGCTTGTAATTGTGCCTGGGATTGCCCCAACCCAAGTGCAGGACTTTGCACTTGTCCTTTTTGAACTTCCTGAGGTTGGCATGGGCCCATCTCTCAAGCCTGTCAAGGTCCCTCTAGATGGTCTTATTTTGCTCCAGCATGTCAACGACACGACACTGGCCTGTGTCAGCAAACTTGCTGAGCTTGCACTCAATTCCACTGTCCATGTCGCCGACAAAGATGTTAAACAGCACCAGTCCCCATACTGATGCTTGAGGAACACCACTTGTCACTGATCTCCATTTGAACATCGAGCCATGGACCACTATTCTGAGTTCAACCAACCAGCCAATCCACTGAGAGGTCCATCCATCAAATCCATAGCTTTCCAATTTAGAGGCTGAGATGTCATGTGGGACAGTGTCAAATACTTTGCACAAGTCCACATAGATGACATAAGTTGCTCTTCCCTTGTCCACCAATGCTGTAATTCCATTGTAGAGCCACCAAGTTTGTCAGGCAGGACTTCCCCATTATGAAGCCATGCTGGTTGCTAGTTACCATCTCCTCATTTCCCATATGCTTTAGCAGCACCTTCAGGAGGATCTGCTCTGTGATCTTCCTGGGCACAGAGGTGAGACTTAAAGGCTTGTAGCTCTCAGGTCTACCTTTTTTCACATTTTGAAAATGGAAGTTATGGTTCCTCTTTTCCAGTCAGTGGGAAATTCACCAAACTGCCATGACTTTTCAAATACGATGAAAAGCAGCTTTGCAGCTTCATCTGCCAGTTCCCTCAACTTCTGCTTTCAAACTACAGGAGTTTACTTTTTCTTTAAATGAAAGTATTAATAATTACCCCATAGTTGTTTTGGTTGTATTTTGGTTTGGTTTGTTGGTGGTGGGTTTTTTCATGTTGAATGCATGAAAAATATTTCTTGTGAACAATGACCAATTCTGTGCCTGACAGGTCCACGTGACAGTAGTAAAATGGGAATCCTCTACATCCTGGTTCCCAGCATAGCCATCCCTCTGGTTATCGCCTGCCTTTTCTTCCTGGTCTGTATGTGCAGAAACAAGCAGAAAGCATCGGCTGCTACACCACAGCGCCGCCAGCTAATGGCTTCTCCTAGCCAGGACATGGAAATGCCGCTCATTAATCAACACAAACAGGTATTTTTTCCAGAATTTACTTAGGCCACATATTTCCAAAGTGTTGTGATTTTCAGTATCTCAGGTGGTCAGTGTTCAAACTGAGCTGTGTTGTAAGTGACCCAATCTTTATAATTTTTATAATCTTTATAATTTTTATAATCTGCTGGCCATTTTTTCAGTGAAAACTGGGTCTTGCACTTGTTGACTGTATCTGCAAATCCTGGCCTCAGGCAACAGCTTTCAGAACCTAGTATTTTATTTTATTTTATTTTACCCTTCACAGAATCATAGAATGGTTTGGCTTGGAAGGCACCTTACAGGTAATCTAGTTCCAACCCAATTGCATGGGCAGGGAGACCTCCCACTAGGCCAGGTTGCTCAAAGCCAAATCCAACCTGGCCTTCAGCACTTCCAGGGCCTCCTTAACTTCTTTGGACAACCTTATCTAGTGTCTCACCACCTGCATAGTGAAGAATTTCTTCCTAATGTCTAACCTAAATCTATTCTCTTCCAGTTTAAAAGCCATTAACCCTTTGTCCTCTTACTACATGCCTTTATAATAAGTCCCTCCCCAGCTTTCCTGTAGGCCTGCTTCAGGTACCAGAAGGCTGCTGTAAGTTCTCCCCAGAGAGACCTTCTCTAAACCAGGCAACCCCAACTGCCTCAGCCTGTCTTCACAGGAGAGGTGCTGCAACCTTTTGATCAACTTTGTGGCTCTCCTCTGGACTTTCTTCAAGAGCTCCATAACCTTCCCGTCCTGGGGGCTCTGTAACTGGACACAGTATTCCAGGTGGGGTCTCAAAAGAGCAGAGTAGAGAGAGAGAATCACCTCTCTTGACCTGTTGGTAACATTTCTTTTGATGCAGCCCAGGACATGGTTGGCTTTCTGGGCTGCAAGCACACATTGCTGGCTCATGTTGAGCTTCTCATCAACCAACACCTTCCAACTCCTTTTCCTCAGGGCTTTTCTCTGTCCACTCTCGGCCAAGCTTGTAATTGTGCCTGGGATTGCCCCAACCCAAGTGCAGGACTTTGCACTTGTCCTTTTTGAACTTCCTGAGGTTGGCATGGGCCCATCTCTCAAGCCTGTCAAGGTCCCTCTAGATGGTCTTATTTTGCTCCAGCATGTCAACGACACGACACTGGCCTGTGTCAGCAAACTTGCTGAGCTTGCACTCAATTCCACTGTCCATGTCGCCGACAAAGATGTTAAACAGCACCAGTCCCCATACTGATGCTTGAGGAACACCACTTGTCACTGATCTCCATTTGAACATCGAGCCATGGACCACTATTCTGAGTTCAACCAACCAGCCAATCCACTGAGAGGTCCATCCATCAAATCCATAGCTTTCCAATTTAGAGGCTGAGATGTCATGTGGGACAGTGTCAAATACTTTGCACAAGTCCACATAGATGACATAAGTTGCTCTTCCCTTGTCCACCAATGCTGTAATTCCATTGTAGAGCCACCAAGTTTGTCAGGCAGGACTTCCCCATTATGAAGCCATGCTGGTTGCTAGTTACCATCTCCTCATTTCCCATATGCTTTAGCAGCACCTTCAGGAGGATCTGCTCTGTGATCTTCCTGGGCACAGAGGTGAGACTTAAAGGCTTGTAGCTCTCAGGTCTACCTTTTTTCACATTTTGAAAATGGAAGTTATGGTTCCTCTTTTCCAGTCAGTGGGAAATTCACCAAACTGCCATGACTTTTCAAATACGATGAAAAGCAGCTTTGCAGCTTCATCTGCCAGTTCCCTCAGGAGCCATGGATGGATCTTGTCAGGTTCCATGGACTTTTGCACTTTTAGCTTCTTTACATGATCTCAACTCTGCTCTTCTACAGGAGGTGGATCTTCCTTCTCGCAGTCCCTGTGTTTGCCTTCCGTAACTTGGGTGGTGTGGCCAGATCCCTTGCCAGTGAATACTGAGGCACAAAAGTCAATGAGTACGTCAGCTTTCTCCATATCCCACATGACCAGGTCTCCTGTTTCCTTCCTTTCCCCAAGATTTATTTTTATCACTAACATACATGTAAAAGCTTTTCTTGTTACACTTTGTGTCTCCAGCTAGATTTAATTCTGGGCTTTAGCTTTCCTAAGCTGATCCCTAGCTGCTTGCAGATCTTCTTTGTACTCATCCCAGGCAACCTGGGATATTTCCACCTTCTGTAGACTTCCTTTTTACATCTGTCTTAAGTTTGCAGGACCTCCTTGTTCATCCATGCAGGCCTACCTGCATTCTTGCCCACCTTCCTCTTTGTTGGGACACACTGTTACTGCGCTTGGAGGAGATGATACTTCATTATTGACCAGTTTTCTTGAGCTCCTTTCCCCTCCAGGGCCTTATCCCGTGGTACCCTACCAGGCAGATCCCTGAAAAGGCTGAAATCTGTTCTCCTGAAGTCCACAGTAGAAAGCTTGCTGCATATCCTTCTTTTTGCCCTAAAGATCCTGAATTCCACCATTTCATAGTCACTGCAGCCATGGCCCCCTTGAGCTTCATGTTCCCCACGAGCCCATCCTTGGTGGCAAGAACAAGGTCCAGCATAGCGCTTTTTCTCATTGATTCCTCTACCACTTGGAGAAGGAAAATGTCATTAATGCACTCCAGGAACCTCATGGATTGCTGGTGTCTTGCTGTGCTGTCTCTCCAACAGATGTAAGGATGATTGAAATCTCCAAAGAGGACCAGGGCTTGTGAACATGACACTACTTCTATCTGTCTATAAAGGGCTGCATCCACTCCATCTTCTTGGGCATATGGCCTGTAGCAGACTCCAATTAATATATCACCTGCAATTGTCTTCCCTGTAATCCTGACCCATAAGCTGTTGGTCAGCTCCTCCTCCACCCCCAGGCAGAGCTCCATGGACTCCAGCTGGTCACTGATGCAGAGGG